TATATATATATTTTTTCTCCTAAGTCCCGGGGTAACTTAGACGAAAAGAAATCAGAAGAGATAAAGAAAATGAGAATCATTTAAAGAGGTACAGGTAGATAAGGTCGTTCAGGATAAAATGGGTCAATCCTTGGGAAAAAGTTAAATCCGTTTGACCTTATCTGCTTTATGTCAATAGAATCCATTTTATGACACACGTTGAATAACATGTTTTTTTTTCAAAACAACAAGTTCTTTTTAACAAGCAGGCAGGTGAAAGGTAGAAAGAAGACAATCCATTTCTTCATCTCAAATAGGCATAATCAATCTCCTTTGTAAGCATCCCTCTACCTACCTGCACAGACCGCAAAGGAAACACGTCCAAAAGAAAACAACACAATCCCATACTCGAGTCAAACTTTTCCATTCACATGCAGGACTTGAACAACTTTCCTCTACCTTTTCTTTTGAATATTTAAAACGAACAGGGTCAAGCTAAGTGCGGGTCCACACAGGCGTGAAAAGAAGTCATTCAACTGACCTTGAGTGAAGTTTGAACGGTACACTCAAGAAGACCATATAAATTTTTCGCCCTTTTGACGAGAAGGTCGTTGCACCCAGTTGTCAGTAAAGTGATTGACACCAGTCCCTTTGACGACCGCTTGCCAAAGTACCCTCTCAGCCTCGATCACCTTCCAATAATTTGGCGGCGTTTTATCGTTATCACCACTAGGCTCCAAAGCACGGCGTCTCCGCGGCGTCACGCTCACGCTACTTTAAAATGAAACACCGCTTTACCGCACCTCCTCTGTGTCAACGTCCCACCTCCACTCAGTGCAAAAATACTTTCGTTATCGTCGTGAAATTAGTGTCGTCGCTGCAAAAATTCGGTACTGCCGCTGAAAAATCCGGTGGTGTTTCCGCACCACCGTAAAAAAAAACAGAACCGCGACCGCAAAAATCCGGCAGTGCTTCCGCACTACCGTCGATAAAACCGGAGTTGCTGCCGCAAAAATCTGGCAGCGCTTCCGCACCACCGCTGTAAAACCAGAGTCGTGCCGCAAAAATTCGGTAGCGCTTCCGCACTACCGTTGTTAAAACCGTACTTACTGCCGCAAAAATTCGGCAGCGCTTCCGCATTACCGCCTTAAAAACCTGCGTCGCCGCCGTAAAAGTTCGGCAGCTCTTCGGTACCATCGCAAAAAAAAATTGTGCCGCCGTTGCAGAAATTCGACACCACTTCGGTACCATCGCAGAAAAAGATTATGCCGCCGCTGCAGAAATTCGGCAGCACTTCGGTACCACCGCAGAAAAAACTTGTGCCGCCGCTGCAGAAATTTTCCATCTCTTCGGTACCAACGCAGTAAAAATCGGGATTGCCGCTGTAAAATTTCCGCAGCACTCTCCCACCGGAGTGAGAAAATGGCAGGCCAAAATTGGTAAAATTTGGGCCTTAGGCCCAAATCTCACAGCGCCACACTGCCGCAGTCCCGCAGGAGCACTGGGTCTGCCCCGTGGGACCAGCACCAGCCAGAGGAGAGGAGCAGAGTGCTCCCTGCCGTAGCTATGGCTGCCTAGTCGTCCTCTTCGCACTCCTCTGCAGACATTCAGCTTCTCCTCCTTGCATCAGGCAGCACCTCAGTAGTCCAGCAGCACTCAAGTGCATGTCACACAATGACAGCACGAATGCTTTGTGTGGCAGCTGGGGGCAGCTGGCTGTTTTATAGGGGCTGAGGAGGGCTGGTCGTCACTCCAGCCCCCAGGCAAAATCGCGGGCTCACTGTGAGCCCTTGATTTGCCAGGATCCAGGGTTGATTGTGGCTGCACCACAGCCACGGCCTTAGTGTGGGGCAGTTTCTTTAACTGCCCTAGTTTATTTTTCTTTTTCTTTTTCCCAGCCATCTCAAAATCTCACAAGATTGCTGGGTTCCTGTGATTTCCAAAACCTTTTTTCTTTTATTTTTCTGATAAAGAGTTGGACAGATTCAACCCCTTAAAGTTTGATGTATTTGGACCCTTGTCCCAAGGCAGATACATCGGGGAAAAGGTTGTACCTAGCCTTTTTCTTAGTGGCCCTTCAATTTGCAGGCTTTCTTCAAAAACGGGAGCCTAACAGTTACCTCTGGCAGCCCCTGCTAGAGGTAGCACCATGTGAGGTCACTTGTCCTCACACAAAATAAATAAATAAATAAATTAAAAAAAAAAAAAAAAAAAAAAACCCAACCTCCTTAACTGCAATGCTCATAGCCGTGATTTGAGCCAGGAGCATGCAGTTATCTGTCAACAGCCTACTCCTTCCCTCTTCTGCCCTCCCCTGAAAACGGGGAGGACACTTGTCAGGTTGGGAGGAGTAGGGAAAGAACTCGTGAAAATTCATGAGTTCAAATCCCGACAGACTCGGAACGAGGTGGAAAAAGTACCCCGACTTAGATGAATTTTAGAAAAATATTCGATAAATGAAAAAATCTAAAACAATGCTCGCACATGGCCTAGGTGCCTTACTACCTACAGAAAAACATTCAAGGGCAACAAAATTGTTTCCCGCCACCAAAACAATAGTGGCGCAAACCAAAAAATACAACTTTTCAAAAAAAACTGAGATCCCGTTTTTCGTTTTCTTTTTCTTTTCTTTTTCTTCTTTTCTTTTCTTTTATTTTCCGTTTTACCCCCTGACAACGGGGAGGCAGCTGGCAGGTCGGGAGGAGCAGGTCCTCTCTCTCATCCTCCCTTTTCTTTCC